GGTTTGAAAGGAGCTCGTGGTCCTCCTGGGTTACCTGGTGCGGCAGGAGAAACGGGAATCAAAGGTCCTGTTGGATTGCGTGGTGAACGCGGGGAACGAGGAATTACAGGAATTAAGGGAATGATTGGTGACGATGGTCTGAAAGGTCTGAGCGGTCCTCCTGGTCCCAAAGGTGCTGCTGGTCTCCGTGGTCAANAAGCAGGTCCGAGAGGATTTGCTGGGCCTCAAGGACCTCCGGTGAGTTTGGAATAAGTGCAGGGCAAATACAGTAAAGTGATTGTATCTGTGCGTGTGTTTTAAGTTTTATATTTATCCGTGTTTCTTGTTAGACGTTCATGTTAACTTTAACGTTCTTTGTAACTTATATTTTCTTCTGACGAATGAGATGCTGAAAAATAATTATACAAACACTGTTTCTTAGGGAATTGAAGGTACTGCTGGAGTTCATGGACCACCCGGAGATGCTGGATCTCCCGGACCTCAAGGTGTACCCGGAAGACAAGGTCCTGAAGGTCCCAAAGGAAATCCCGGTTCAGCTGGACCAAAAGGAGAGGCCGGATTCCCCGGAAGACTTGGTGACCGTGGTGCCCCTGGTCCACCCGGAGCTCCTGGTAAGCAGGGTGCCTATGGACCACCTGGCGCAGAAGGTAATAAGGGTGAAATTGGAGATCGTGGTCGTCCAGGCGAACCTGGACCTGCCGGACTGCGTGGTTTTACCGGCCCCGAAGGTGAACCTGGCACGGTCGGAGCCAAGGGTCCCGAAGGTGCAGCAGGTCTACAAGGTGCTCAGGGATTGCCCGGTGTCGAGGGTGTTAAAGGTCGTCGTGGCGAGCGTGGTCCAATTGGTCCTGTTGGTGAGGCTGGAAAACGCGGTATTCGAGGTGCTGCCGGTGCAGCTGGTCCACCAGGCTTCGAAGGTAGTCGAGGTCCTCCCGGTTTGCGAGGTCCACCCGGTCCTGAGGGTCCACCTGGTGCAATCGGTATCAGCGGCGATCCTGGTCCACTTGGTCCAATTGGTGAGAAAGGAGCTCAAGGTGACATAGGAGCCAGCGGTCCCCGTGGAGCTACCGGCCCAAGAGTACGTTTATACTAGTGTAATGATAAGGCATACGGTATGTGATCAGTCCGAAGAGTACAGAAGAAAATCATTCAATGTTGGATATTGCAAATACTTTCCAAGAGTGAAAATGTGACTCGAGGTGGCCCAAAAACTTATAAATTTTATTATCTCTATCTCAGTCGATGACTCACAGTTTACTGATGGCTTCATTAAGGCCCCTAAGAGTAAGTTAATTAGATATATAGATAGCATTTTGAAAACCGTAATTGGCCCAATGCCAATCGCTTTACTATAGTCTAACTGACTAATTTTATGTATGCCTTTTTTGTGTAGCCACATTCAGTTGCCTTCTGACAGATACATATTAGTCTCCGAGGTCTCGCTCCTAAAAGTGATTCTAATTTCATCATGCAGCGCAGGTTTAATATGGTACTTGTTCGGAACTATCACTCAAAAGAAAACATTTATGGCTGTTTAGGAAATAAGACACACAACACTGAAATAAGAACACTCAACCTTAAGGTCATACTCATTTGCAATTATCTTCAAAACTTGTGAAGACATTTATCCAAACCTTTTACAGGGACCAAGTGGTGTTCGAGGGCAACCTGGACCTACTGGCGAAGCTGGACCCAAAGTAAGTTATACATTAATAGCCTATTGTACAACATTTACTCACATTGTGAGTAAGAATTCTGTCTCACTTATCCAATACTTCACTTGTCTACAATGTTTAGGGTCCACTTGGTGCAATCGGTCGCCCCGGTTTGGTCGGTTCTCCGGGTATTCCAGGACCGCAAGGTTTGCAAGGTCCGCAGGGCATCCGAGGTCCACCGGGTGCGATGGGTAAAGCCGGTGAACCCGGAGTTATCGGAACTCGAGGTCAGCGTGGTGATCGTGGTCCCCGAGGTGAACCAGGTCCACCCGGGCCTTTCGGACCAGCCGGTGAAAAAGGTCAACGAGGTCAAACGGGAAAACGAGGTCCAATGGGCCCGGAGGGACGTGTCGGTCCAGAAGGCCCTGTTGGAGCTCCTGGTAAACCGGGTGACCCGGNACCCGGGACCAGATGGAGAACCAGGAAGCATCGGACCGCGTGGACCGCTGGTGAGTGTACCAGTCTTCTTCACAACAAAAAGATAGAGGGTATCAAATAGTAAAATAATATCCCACTGTTCGCTGTCGCTCACACAAAAAGCATCTGTGATAGCCACAACATTCCTTTGATTTTCAATTTAGTCTTATCGATTCTCAACCATGAGCTACTCGAATTAGTGATTTCATCATCAGTCTGTTAGCACCGTGCACCGAACAGTGCGCTTAACAAGCAACAGAGGCAAATTGTTTTAGCTGACGGATAAACAGAGAAACAAATCTGCCTCATCAAAGACCAACCTCGATTTGGTCATGGGACTCGTTTTCCTAGTGGCGACAGTTTGTGAATAGTGACATTCTTAACTTTTTACCTTTTTTCCACTTTATCTAATCTATTTAGAGTCATTCGCGGCAGAGTAAGTAATATGAAAGTAAGACGAATTGATTAGCAGACACTGGATGGTAAATGCTGAGTGCAGACGAAGTTTGGGTAAGAAATTAACTGTTGCAATCTTACTTGACCTGGGATGTTGTGATCCCTTAATCTCTGAACTGGCTATGCAAACACATGAATAGATTTTGTTTTCGCTGTTCGCGTCGCTCTTTGTACTGAATCGATCTGTTCCATTGAGCAATCTTTTCGTCAGGTGTGTGGGATATTGAAGGTCACACGGTGTCACAACCAACTATGGATAGTATTTAACTATGAAGTGCCACCGCATTTAATATGTTGGGTTACGTAGAACACAACTATGACACGAATACCGATTACACGTGATCCAGCGAGATCCATTGCCAGAAACGTGCAAACAACGAAGTGATGTAATGAAACCGGTTTTGAACTAACACGGTTAGGATATGGAAGGTAATAATGTAATTCAAGGGCCGATTTCAACAACGAATTCAATATTGGGTAATTTATGTATCCAGGGCTATAAATACTGAATACTGTATACATTCACGTTTCAAAAGTTAGTCAAAGCTCTGGAATGTTTATTGAGTGTGGTTAAACTAACAGCTTGAAAACAAAACCTGTTCTAAAGTCAAGCATCTCCTAAAGGAATAATGAAATAGATGACTGAAATTGAGTAGTTCAGTTTTGTAAACGTCAATTTCTTTATTGTCAGACGGAATCACTGAACTACGACATGATTTTCAGTTACAATCTTTGGTTTATGAGATTGTAGTGGTGTTGAAAGTTATAACCTTGGGCATTTTTATCTCCAGAAGTATATATTCAATCAATTTGACCCACCGAACCCCCTCCCCGTTTCAATTTTTCACATTTGGTCCTTAGGGTGAACGTGGGGCTCCCGGCCAAATGGGTCCAATCGGTCCACCCGGTCGAGTCGGAGAAAAAGGCACATCTGGTCCAATCGGTCCAGACGGTGCCAAAGGTGAACGTGGTGAGAAAGGTAACATGGGTGAAAGTGGATCAGTCGGTGCTCCGGGGCCGGTGGGAAACACAGGTATTCGCGGTGCCCGTGGCGACAAAGGAGAACAGGGAGCTCCGGGACCACGTGGTGAACCGGGACCAGTCGGTGCACCAGGAGAACGTGGCTCGGACGGACCAATTGGTCCACGTGGACCTCAGGGACGTCCTGGCAATAAAGGTCAGCCAGGACTGCGTGGATTGCAGGGAGACAAAGGTGCACCAGGCGAACAGGGTGAGCAAGGAATTCCTGGAGATATTGGAAACCCGGGTATACCTGGACCGCCAGGTGCAGTTGGCATGAAGGGTTTGAAAGGTGAACCAGGTCCTCCAGGTGCTCGGGGTGAGCCCGGTGAACTGGGACCCAAAGGACCTCAAGGTCCATCCGGGCCGAAAGGTCTTCCGGGTCTTCCGGGACGTCAAGGAGATCGTGGCAAACCTGGAGATCAAGGTGATCAAGGTCCGGCTGGAGTTGCTGGTACACAGGGTCCACAAGGTCCGGAAGGTGAACGAGGTCGACCAGGTCCACCAGGAGTGTCCGGACAGGCTGGGGCAAAAGGTGATACTGGTGAACCTGGGTTGCCCGGTCCGACCGGAACAAGTGGTCCGCCAGGACCTGCTGGACTCGCTGGCGAGAAGGGTGATCAAGGTGATGCTGGCTTACCGGTAAGCTAACTTTTTTTCGTGTATTTCGTGCATATCTCCGCTCTATGTAAGAAAATAAGACACGGGGTTTTGAGATTAACCATTTCCATTGAGAGTTTACGTTACCCGACGTATTTATTCACCACTTATTATTCTTATTATTATTATCATCATCATTTTAAGGCGGCTACGATTAGCCGTAGTTGGACGTGACGACGACACCAAATTTCAAAGTAGTTATTCCCATGAGAAACGAAATTCTAGAACCTAAATTCCTTGATGATTTGGGCCGCAATTAGACAACGGAAGCCATACTGATGAAACTCTTAAGAGTACCAAATGTGTGAAAATGTATGAACCATTGTACTCCCGACCAATTCTGAAAACGTGATCCTGGAAAATGGCTGATTTTGCAGGAAAATGCACATAGAGTTTGCTTGCTGTTGGACTAACAACCATTAGCTTAATATTTATTCGCTGGTGTACTATCGAGATCATGCAGAATACCAAGATAAAATTTATGAAGTCGTCGCCTACTGAACGCAATCTTAGCGTGATAGGGAATCTTTGTACGGTTCTCAACAGGGAAAAGAACATACTCACATCTGCGTGGTCTCTCTTTGGATGTGCAGATACGAAATGAAAAATTGCACATCCAGAATTTGCATTTCAAACTTGCCAGACTCGATGCCTGCGGGGGGGGGGGGGGGGCTGAATGATGAAATAAATAACCAAGGAGAGCAAGTAAATTGTGAACCTACATATGGTGGAGTTAATAGGCATTAGGCAACCGGTCTGGTTGTAAATAAACATCGTTCTTAAATAGCTCCGGAGATCGCATTGTGTTATCACAAGGTTAATCACGGTAATACCAAAAGGTTGAGTTTATAAGCCAAATTCTTTCCTTTTTCCACCGCTTGGGAAATAAATCACATTTATCTGTCCATAAGTTACTCTCAGAGGCATAATCATCTATATGCATTATGAATTTTCACCATCGTACACTTCGAAATTCATGACATGATTCAATCCGTAGGCAACGAAATGTCAAACGATTGTCTACAGTAAGTCTGTACGGGAATGATGGCAAACGTAATCAGCTGGGAAAATAAATGCCAAAGACGATTTGTTCATCCGACTTCCGAATACTTAACTTCAGCCTATTTTATTGGCATTATCAAATGTGCCCCAGCAGTCGAACTTCCACACTCGAAAATAGTTGCCGTCAGTGACAAACAATTTGGAAATTATTGGCCGATTTCAACGATTGACAAAAGTCAGTAGTGTTTGTTTATTCTTCCTTCCCCTCAGCTCTTCCTGGCTGATTATGATCACGATTTGAGCATCAATATTCACGAACGTAAGCTGGTAGCAGTTTCCATTGGAAAAAACTGTAGTTATTCTCTTTTGGATTAGTTTCCACAAGTGTCATCTTCGAGCCTTAACTTGAAGCAGTTTGTCAGAAAAGCACTCCTTAGTATAATTCTCACTAATCCTTGTCGTGTTCTCGGTTTTTCGTTTTAGGGCATTGTTGGCCCTCTCGGCCCAGTTGGTGAGCAAGGACCAAGTGGACCACCCGGTCCCATTGGACCACCGGGCCTCGTTGGACCTATGGGCAAAACTGGACTACCGGTGAGTTCGCATTACGTACTTCAGTGAACTCGGAGAATATTAAGATTCCGCCTAGATTTTTTCGCCTGAAAGTAACCTTTAGGATAAATCACCACCAATTACTTAGTAGTTAAAAAGGGTTACTCGGGATTGGGGATTAATTACACAACAGTTTTACTAAAAGTAGGTTATTTCCTAGGAATGTAAGCAACTAAAAGGTTACACTCTAATCATTGAATTAATAAATTGTGCTACTTCGTCTAATTTTTATACACTTCTGTCTGCCCATATGTGCCATTTCATCGATTTGTCCTTACCGTTACTTCTGTGTTCACTTAAGGGTCCTCCTGGACAAGCTGGAGTTGCGGGTCGTGCAGGTCAACAAGGTCCGCCAGGCAAAGACGGACAAATGGGCAAACGCGGTCCTCGTGGTGAAGAAGGTCCTCAGGGTCCAGACGGAAATCGTGGTCTGATTGGACCACCCGGATCAACCGGCACACGTGGTCCGCCCGGTGAACGGGGTCCCCAAGGTCCAAGAGGAAACCGTGGTCCACCTGGAATCCAAGGCCCTCCTGGACCAATGGGTAAGCCAGGTCCTGCAGGCCCACAGGGTAAACGTGGTGAGGAAGGATTCCAAGGCAAGCGCGGTGAACCTGGTGATGCCGGAGTTCCCGGCCCGAAAGGTAGTGTTGGCCCAGATGGAAAACAAGGTGAGGCTGGTGATCGTGGTGCAGCCGGAAACATGGGTTTGATGGGCCCACCAGGAGACAGTGGACCACCGGGTTTGCCCGGACCACCCGGATCTCAAGGACCTCAAGGTCCAGCGGTGAGTTCATTCACCAAAATTTCATTAGCGATCTAACTCAATAATCTCTAACGGCATATACTTATGATTGAACAGCTATGTTTCTCATTTGTTTAAGTAATTTTTCTCTGCTGTTCAAAACAAGTTTATGGAAGACTAAAATGTCTATTATTTATTCACTTCAGGGTACGATCGGTCTGAAAGGAGAACCCGGAGTGATGGGCAATGTTGGACCAATGGGACAAGTTGGACCAATGGTGAGTGATTATTTTACTTTGGCTATTGTTCTGAACGGTAATAGAGTCAAGGCAGGTCATAGCATCAAGTACTGAGATCTTCTCTGTGCGAAGATAGTTTTGTGCAGTTTTACATTGGATACGCTCTCACTTTTGTTTCTTTAGGAATCCGAGGCACATTTTGGCTTCGATCAGAAGTTAATAATTGTTTCAACGTTTTTTCATTCACAGGGATTACCGGGACCTCAAGGTCCTCCAGGAGATCCGGGTCCAAGAGGCGCAGATGGACCACCGGGGTTGCCAGTAAGTGCTGACTAACAACTCCACTCTACGCCTTACACACGCACCGAATCGATTGTAATTCGTATTGTACAACGCTCCTCAGACCTTCAGTTGTGAGCATAACTTCTGGGCATTTTTTAACATGACTTTGTGGATTCTTATTCTAAAACATTTATGCTTTCTGTTCTAGGGTCTCCCAGGACCTCCAGGGGAATTCAAAACAGACTACACTTCACTTTTCAGTCGACCTCGTGACGGTGATTCGGAAATGATGGTGAGTGAATTGCTATCCTGGACTTACTGTTTGTTTCTTACGCTTCCTGATGGAGAATTATGCTCTCTCTCTCCCGTTCATTCACATAATTTATCGCCACACATTTCCCTTCTACACCTCATCCCACATTCAGGCTGATCAAGCGCACACCCGAAGTCGACGATGGGCTGAGGATGAATACGATCCCAGCGCGGAGAGCGATCCAAATGATGAGGTGAGCGGGGGTTTCCTTGGGAAGAAACCAATAAAAAAGATCATTAAAGATATATTGTTGTTTATTTCAATTTGGCAGCCAGAAGTTAAAATTGAAAAACTTATTGCATTGACTGTTACGTAGTTTCTGGTGGGGCAATGGTTTAGTCGCTGCCACCGGCGTGCTTTGGACCCTACAATTCGAGGTCCGAGCCCGGCCGCCGCCACCAAACTTGGGTGGTAGGCAGTTTGCTGTCGTCCGGTTCAATACCATGCCTAGCCTAGCGGGGCCTTATGTGGTTCGCCTCTCCAAGTCCCGGGGCTTAGGTTGCCACTTTCCTTCACTGAACAGCAGGTCCTCGTGACTATGGGCCTTTCCCGTCTACTGCTCATCACACTAAGGTGTGTAATAAAAATACTACAAATTCGTACACACATGGGTGTGTTCTCTTCGGCATCCGTTGGTAATAGAACGCTTTTTCTATGACAAAACCGCTTCACAATGAGGCTTGTGTGCATCACGGATGCAGTTTAGGGCGTGGAACTGTATCTTGTGTGTTATCTGTATGTCTTAATCGGCTGTTGTTTATTGCACGAATACTGCAAAATATTCAATCGCATCCAGGAAATTACTACTTCTGCAAACCACTATTATGACTTCACACTGGTTGAACTTCGTCTTATGAAGCTCAAATAGATTCGATGGGAGGATAGTACAAAAATTTGCTTCATGACATCTGGCCCGAGTTGCTCCATGATAGTTACTTACCGGTAATCAGTGTTAAGCAATTCAATTAGCCATGTGTGGTTTCGGCCGACGTGGGGACATTTGCCCCGGTGGAAGCGTTCAATTCAACTAACTCTATCAGAACACAACAGTTTACTCTAATCAACACGTCTTTCATCATTTCCAAACCCTTGCACCCAATAAAGAATGAGGATGTGTTTGAAGCACTTCGACGTGTTGGTCGCATGGTCGCTGGTCTGTACAGTGGAAGTGGCACACAATTTGATCCGGCCCGTACTTGTGCCGATCTGAAGCGGGATCATCCATCGAAATCAGACGGTATGTTGCACCGATCAGAATTTTCANGTTCCCGTGACCGAATATCGTAGCCACTGCACCTGTAGTCATTCTGTATGAATATACTGATTACCATTCAAACAAATGCTGTGAACGATTTTTCACCTGATCATTTTTTTTCCTAAATTTGATTACGTTTATTTGTTTCTTTTTTTCAACGTGACGCAAAGGAAACCTCAGTTTGCCCACATGAAACACATTCAGGATTATTTGAACGTATAATTCTTTCACGTACCTTGTGATAACGGAAGGATTTAGGAATCCCCTATCGACGCGAATTGCAACCTCGGTTATATTTGTCAACAAAACTATTCAATGAATCAGGATATTTTCTGGTAGGATGGTAAGGAATACCTTGGTTTGCTGTGAATCGGAAAACTTCAAGCGCATATCCACATTTGGGGAATTCGTTTCAAAAATATATACGGAGTATTCAACAAAAGCGTTGATAACATTTTGCTAGACTGTGTGATTAAAAATCTACCCCCCACTCATTGTCAATTCGGCGCCATCTGATCAAAGAAAATAACCGGATGTGGCTTCTGAACGCCGCACTATATGTACCACATCACACTGACATCTCTGTGATCTTCTATTATGTATTCAGCACGATAGGGATCGCGCAGTCTGTCTCTATCGTCGTCTAAAATTAGCATGTGTGAAAAGTAACTAGATTATCTAGCAACTACAAACAAAAATACTCGTGATGGACTGTTTCAAAATCTCTCTCTTTCCAATGACAGGTATCTATTATGTTGATCCGAACGGTGGTCACTGGAGGGACGGCTTGGTCGTCTATTGTCGTCTGAGCGGAATGGAGACTTGTGTAGCTCCCGTGGTCGAACAGATGCCCTATGTACAACTGAAACACGACAATGTGGCCAAATGGTACGCCGAGCTTGTTCTAAACACACCCAATCCGGTAAGTAACTATCCACTGTTCCATCCAATTCCCACCCTGACCTATTCCATGAAGACATGTGCATTCCTAAAGCAGAGAAATCTCTTGAGGGATTAAGGACAGAGTGAGTTTGCATGATGTGATGTCAAAATCACTGGAATTATGCAAGCTTTGTATGCCTGTGGACATTTTACTAATCAGTTCAGTACAATCTAAGACTTTCTCTCAATGCGGTAATAGCCTTACTTGGTTTGATTTTTGCTGTTGTTTGGAATTTGCACCTGAGCACTTCATAGGGTGGTAGTGGTCCAGTGGTAACGTCACCAAACTAGCACCTCCTGGGTGGTGTGTTCGAATCCCACCATCACTGCTTGACTTTCCCCATTCTTTGTTGTATGACAGCCTTTGATCTGACGCTTCCCTGTTCCTGAAAATTGTATAATTATAAATTCACTAAGAGCAGGTAAAATGAAGAAAAATGTCCCAAGTAGTACAAAATGAAAGGATGACCAAAGAAATGTGGGCAAAGATCAACTTCTACGGACCGAAGCACGTATGCTCGTGTACCACGATGCTTTGTTTATACATCCAATGCACATACTGAGGCTCTGCAAAGGTCAGTAATTAGTTGTTCTCGGAACAGCTCTAAGTTAATATACCCACACCTCCCTGAGCCCATATTTTTGTAATTAATCATATGTACTAATTTTTCACTCTCTCCGCTCTCTTCGATTCCCTTATCAGCAAATTGAATACCAAATGCCAAAGGATCAATTGGTATTCTTGCAGTTGTCCAGTGAAGTGGGAATACAACGGGTCAAGATCAATTGTCGAAGCCTACAGGGCGCTCAGGAACCAATTCTTCTCAGCGATGACGGCCGAATGATCCGTCTAAATACCAGTGAACCATCTATTTCTATTCAAATTGAAGAAAACACATGCACCGTGAGTATTGGGTCCTCAATTTTTGGTTATTCCCACTAAAAGAAAGTGGAAACTTCTAATGAAGAAAAAAATGAAAAAGTCATTGATTATCACCTAAAATATTGACCACATATTTTGGGGTATAGTTGAATGATTTCTGCAGTACTTCATATTGAAAAGACTCGCATGTTACACTTCATTCTGGGACAATTGAAGGGGACATTACGCTACATGGTAAGCCGCTTCTCACCGGTGGTGTTGGCTGAACCAGATGCTGGGACTGATGCGACGAAAAAAGGATTCTCTTGAAAAAAACAGTATTTGACCACTGAATGAATGTGTATCCTATATGCGTCGCATTTATTCAGTCCCTATCCAAAGTGAATAGGACGAATTAGGATAATGAACAACTCACCCAAACGCGATAAACCAACGGCTTTTCTTTGAAGCCAGGATTTCCTCAAAATTTTACAGAAAATACTTATCTTTTAGATGGTAAATGTTTGGATTAACCCATTCGGTTTTTCACAGGCAGCAGGCACTGTTGATGATGTTGGTTGTGGGTTTCACTCCTTGGGAGATGGTTAACTCCCCACTGTGCGTATGCATTTAAATGCGAAGTCCCAGTTCGAAGAATTGCCCTCCGAGTCCTGACAGGGACACAAAAAGTACGCACTTCTGACGAGTCCCAAACAGCACGAAACAGTTGTCCAGTCCTCTTTGTTGGTTATCACAAAAATACCTATCGTATTCACAACCAAACTGGTTTCACAGGCACACGACACATTCTTCTTCTTGTTCACCGAGGTCGTGCACACACACACACACACACACACACACATACACTGACCATTCACTCTCATTTTCTTTCCAACAGGCTAAAGATTCCGGCAGTTTGTTGGTCACTGTACGGACAAAACAACCCAATCTACTCCCGATTCGGGACGTGAAACTATTCCATGGTCATTCGAGTGCAGGCGGTGCCTCGTTGGAAATTGGCACGGTTTGTTACGGTGGTGTGGACCCCGAAGAGCCCAAGTTTTTGGACTTGTTCAAGTCGGACGAGGATGCATCGGAACCGCCGTTAAACGACGATTTGTTTGATAAAGAGGATCTTCAAGCGGCAATGCTCAGAGGAACAACCCGAACATCATGACCGTGTCTCGCTTCTTGATTGACGAACACTACGAAACCGGAACATATTTGAGCTTTATTATATAAGCGATTTTTCTGAACCACATATGAGACTGAGTTCAAGAGATCCTTTACAATACTACATTCATGTTTTCGTTGCATTCTACATCAGAGTAAAGGTGGGGGGAGGTACAGCTATGTTAGACCACTGAAACGAATAGTATATCTCTGAAATTCGATTCGTGTCAGTTCTGAGCATACGTAGGTCACCTTGAAAAAATATAAAGTAGAAGTTGTTTTATTTCACTATTTTGGTTGTCGTACCACCCCTTATGGATTAGATGTTGAATCCATA